ATTCAAACTGCCAGTCTGCTGATTTAAGGAAGTTGCAGAAGAAAAGTTGCTGTTTTGTTATTGTAAAAGGGTGGCACATCTCTGCAGCTTCTTTTGATGCAGGTTGTCTGAATGAGTATATAACATGTATGCCAGAAGGAAGTGGAACTGGACAAGTACAGCAAGTTAAGACAACCCAAAGCTTTGAGACAAAGAAAAAAGAAATCCATTAGGAAGGACACGTACTACATGCATGAACAATGCCCATGCAACCACCTAAGGACTTGCTTTTTTGCTTGAAAGAACAAATAGCATTTTCTCTAGGAACTCTGCTCGTTTTGCAGACAAAGCTACCAAGCTCACTGGACAAAAGTACAAAAGTCATAAGAGAAGGAGAAGGCTCAATCTTGATAATTTTTCTCGTGTTAAGGATGGTTTTCAACATGCATGTGCCATGTGGAGTAGGCTTCTCTTCACTTTCAAATGACTTAAGTCATGAAAGTCACTTTCAGATGACTAAGTCTGCAGTAGTACACCTTAACCATTAGGCACATCTGACTTTCAGACTGAAAGCTCAAGCCTTAGCACCATTACAGCAGGAACTCTTTGTTGTATGCTAGAACTTAAAAGTCTCTGAAGACGCAATGATGAAGACGCAATGGATTTAATTATTAGTCTCTTTAGTCATGCAACTCACAAGAACAAAAGCCTATGATACAGACACGGACAAAAATGAATTTGGTTGAATATCCCATACAGGAGCTGAGGGAGCGACAGTCAGTGCTACAGACAGTATGAGGGCAGAGCATGGAGAGGGTGATTCTGGTATCGCCAAATAGTTTTCTGGCAACCGCTGTTAAAGGTGTTTTCTGAGCATCATACTGCATCTAGATAATTGTGTTTAATAGCCATTTATGGAATGATTTGCTACTCATGCCTTTTGGCTTCTATAACATCCCATGGCAATGAATTCTGCAATTGCCTTCTATGCCGTGTGAATAGCATTGCCAACAGCACAGGCCACATCTTCCCAGGGATTCAGTAATATGCTGACATCATTTTACTTTTGTCTTGTTTAATCTCATGAATCATGAGCACCACAGCAAAGATTTCCATGTCTGTCTGTTTTTTTCCAGTGTGAAAAATCTCTTTCAGTGCAACAGCTACCAATGGGCAAGTGAACCAGAATACTTCGGTGCAGGAATGCACGTTTCTCACATAGCTCACCCTACCAGAAGAAATACAAACACTTGCAGGAATAGAAAAAGATGCAGAAAGGATAGTGAATCCTCTCAGTGCTGGAACACCCTGAGTAAGAAGCAGTGGAGACTCTGAGAAGAAAAGCCAGGATAAATCTTTAAAGTAAGGGTGAATGAGAAGAAGAGACTGGGAGAGGGCAGAAAAAGGCCTTTGGATTTCCACCAGAATTAAACTGGAGAAATGGGAGCAGGAGAGAGGAGAAGGAGGTTAAAGAGATTTTGTTCCTATCTTCGTCAGCACAGAGGGAGTAGAAAACAAGACCTGGACAGCCTCTCTCTCAAGTCTGCTGCCCTAGGCAACTGTTTACTTTGCCCAAGATAGCATGAGACGTTATAAAATGAATTTCCACAATGCTCTGAGTCACCAGAATATGGATGAGATCTGTGGATTCAAGCCACCTTTCAAGATTATGAATCTCTTCTGAATATCCATTATGCCAATGATACATAACAAAATCACAGCTGTAATGTGATGCACATGTCAACTTTAAGGATACAGTCCCTGCTCAGATAGCATCAGCATTGGGACACGTCAGCATGGTGGATTACCAGAGCAAATGCTTTAACATGCAATGTGATGCAATGTGTTTTAACAACAATTGTTCCCTTATGTTTGTTTGTGTCAGGTTTGACGTGACTATCCGCCAGGACAATGCTCAGGATTCTGTGTGTTGCTTTGCAGAAACTGATTATGTGATCAAATGCTTAAAGCACATAAAATCATGCCCAAGATTCAAGGAGATATATATGCCAGAAAATTCAGAAGGTGTTTAAAATAATTGACACTAACAGCAAGACCTGGGTTTTTCAAAGGAATAAGCGTTATTGTTTCTTTGTTTTTCCTAATGCAATATAATATAAACTGCCTAGAAATTCAGCCTTAGCATAATGTTCAGATCAAATGAAATTCACCCGTTAAGTAAGAATATACACAGGGTCCTCCCTGAAGTGGAAAAAACAGTCTCTGAGTAGAACAGATGCCCTGTGAGACTTCTTACCCTGTGCACATGCCCAAAAAGACAGCTCTGATTCTAACTGCATTGTAGATCTAGTGCTTGTAGGATTTGGAGACTCAGCACTGAGCTGTAGCTCTCGGCAGCCCTTTTTCCCCAGCCTGTGAAACTCAGAATCCAGTGGAGACAAAAACCTCTATAGAAATACTGCATATGTAAATGGCCAGTGAAGAAAAAGAGAGAGTTACCTGCTCTTAAATTAGTCATATTTACATTGTATTCTCAGAATACACTGAAGTATCAAACAATCCCCAAAGTGAAGAAACGTGATTGCCACTCAAGACGTAAGGGCAAAAGGCAAAACAACTGTGCCCCTTGCTCTAAAGTCATTATGCCACATTAAGACTTCATTCTGTTCTCCCAGTTCTGAGTTTAGTATGGTTCTGCTGGCTCACTAGATAGTTTTGCAAGATCTTCATGCTCTCATAGGAATTTAGGCACTGAGATCAATGAGAAGTGGTACCTGTATATTTGCAGAAATCTGTCTTTAATTTCACTATCCCATAAATCTCTATAACGGAAGCATCCTTCATCTTTTCTGCTTCACAAGTGACTTGCGAAGCTTAATTACACAATGATTATGAAGTCCAGTAAATACGACATATATTAAGAGTAGTTAATGAGATTTCCATCACAAGCAGACTCTCTCTTGTGAAATATTACTCACATGTTGCAGAAAAAAACTCAAGAGAAAAAAATACAGACGCATTCAATATAAAACAAAGCTTGATTAATTCCACAAATACATTATACAACTCAGTAGCATTTGTTAGCACAGCATGGAGAATAGTATAGGCTTTTCCGACCAGCGTGGAATTCTGTCTGCACATCCATATACACGACTTTACCTGCAGTGCCCAGCCAGGACAGGGACTCCAGACCCACACACAATCTGCCTCTCATGGGATCTAGTGACTTAAATACCTTTGAAGACGAGATATGACGTTCTGTTCCTTCAAATCACAGAATCATGGAATCATAGAATGGCTGGGTTGGAAGGGACCCCAAGGATCATCAAGTTCCAACCCCCTGCTGCAGGCAGGGTCATCAATCTGTGGTAGTTGTAAATATTTCCCAAAAAGATGCCAGCATACTGACAAATTACCTCATTTTATAGCACAGTGGAAGATGGCTAGACAACTATGAACAGACAGACGGTCGTACAGAAGGCATTGCTTGCACATTCAGTGCTTTCTCAGGCCATACCAAAGCATACAGCCTAAGTAGGGTAGGAGTACTCAAAAGAGGAAGACCATTCCTTAAGATTACAGAGCTCTTGGGCACATTTCTGTTCTGTGAACAAACAGTGTAGCTGTTAAAATACATTTTCTGTTAGCAGTTACGGCTCAGAGCTCACAGAGGCTTTTACAGAACTTGGACAGGAGTGATTTTCAGTACATGCTGTCTCTAACAGCAAGTTCTATTAATATTCACCAAAGAAAAACCTGTTTGTTGACCCAAAGTGTGACTGCTTGCTATTCTCTTCTTGTGAAATTATTTAGGTCCTGTGGGACAACTGTACTGAGCTTTTGACACAAATATTAAAATTCTATTTAGATGTGCAACGTTTTAATGCAAATTTTTACCATAAAACCAAATGCTCCATTCAGTTAAATTAATAGAATTACAAAAAGATGTAATGATAGCAATTAAGTCTTGAAAATGCAAATTTTATAGTCAAGGACAATTACCTCATTTATAGTATCCTGGAATGATGCCAGATGAAGGTAATTTAGATCTCCCTAGCTCACAGTTATATCATGAAGGATATCTTAATTTCATTAGTACAACAAAGATGGGTGAGAAGTTAGAAATATGAAAGAAAAAAAAGAGAGGGAGAGATGTGAAAGAAAATTTGACCTTTCTCATTTCATTGCAACTAGAATACATAGATCTTACTAAAGTATTAGTAATATTTCTTTCTACTCCCATCTCTGGAAAAAAAAAAAAAGTTTTTTTTTCTTTCTTTTTTTTTACTAGCAGCAATGGAATATCAGTATTTTCATAGGTCAGCTCCCTTCAAATACTTAGAGCCCCTGTGCCCACGTCACAAGTGTTATGGATCATTCCTTATTCCTGTTGTAAGGATGAATACAGCACTGACTCCTGGCTGACAGATTATCAAGCCATAGCCTAGGAACGCACTCCGATACGACTTAAAATGTTCTTGAAAAATTCTTCTTGCTTTTACAGATGCAGCCCCACCTCCTTCAAAGAGGCTAGTCAAACATCATCAGTTTCTCATTAGAAAACAAAGAGTGACCAAGTAGACAAAGAATACAGATTAAAATGCCACACATTCTGTAGTCTCTTTTGAAGGAGAAACAAAACAAAACTCGTGTACAAGTTCAACACATTATCAAGTTCAAACAGGAGTTTGCAATACTGTAAGTGTCTCTCTTCCTTTCCTTTCTCTTTGCTGTAGTAGCTACCCCTGACCCAAAGAGGTTTCCAAGAAAAAGCATATTAAATAAGGTACAACATAACATTTACTTTTGAAACTTTACATCTCCCCATTTTTCTTTCTGGCCTGTTGCAGCCACTGCAGAGAAACTCAAATTCCAGAAAAACAGCTGCATCCGCCTAAAATCTTCTTACACCAAATTCCCTTACCAAACCTAACACATAGGCTCTGGAGAAAGCTGGAACCTCCAAGGACTGTAGCAAACTTCACCTCTCTCCTTATCTTGAATGCAACTAACAAAGATAATATGAAAAAGCCTTTCCAAGAGTAGAAATATGTGCTTACCATCAGCATTTGGTGGTTTTGCTGTAGATGGTGCACACTGAAGCCACCACAACCTCCTGCTGGCAAACCTTTGCTCAGCGCCCAGTGTTAGGCAGGCAGTTTCTAGAGGACTGGCTTTATAACTTTGAACAGCACCACACAGCGACAGGAATGCAGCATTACAGACCCCCAGCACCTCTCAGAAAGGGTTTCTTCCATCCAGCTATCCTGTTTTATGAAAAACAAGCCTTTTCTGAAGGATAAAAGTACCTTAGTTTTTCATGTCAAGGGTGCTATCAGTCACCTCTGCTGCTTGAAAACAATGGATGACATTCTGGCTCAAGGAAAGCCATCTGCTTCCTCCTTCAGTGAATTTCATCTCTTACCAAGCAAGAACAAAGTTAGACCTTGTACCACTATTGCCTTCATTCCATGCTTTTGGTGCTTATAATCCCATTACACCTGACAACTTAATCTGAGGTTGTTATTCATAGACATGTATGGTCTGATGAAGCATTCCCAACTCCTGAAAAATCTATTTGTGTGTTTGTTGTTGGGAAATTTGGCCTAATAAGAAGTGCTTGAGTGGGTGCAGACTGGGTATGTTTGTACCATATTATACATGTGGCTTAAACTTCCATGTAATTTTATTGAAAATTGTGCAGTTGACAAGCTAATAGTTTGTGAATCTGCTGAGACTCTGCTGTTGCATAGAGAAATATTTTGTCTAGGCTGCTCCCAGTATGCCTCAAATGTGAAAAAACAGGCTGTGATCATAATACATCTTCATGTAAATCAAAGTAAATTTCTGTATGACAATATTTACCACTGTTATGTACTGCAGATCTCCAAACTCCTCACTTGTCCTAACAGTCGGAATGATCTCAGGCCAGCAATAAGCCAGATACTGGTTGTTAAGTAATATTTAATCTAAGCATGATGTTGTGGTCAGCAAAATTAATTAGCATTTTTTGCGCTAACAAAGATCCAGGCCTAAAATCAAATGATGATGTCAAAAAACTATGAAAAATATTATTATCTAATTCTTCCTTTTATTACACTGACACAGAAACATGTTTCTTGGAAATTTTACACGTGAAGGCAGATTTTTTCCTATTGCATCTTCTTTCAAGAAATTCAGCTTTCTACTCGGAACTTCAATAGAGTAATTTCCATTTATGATCACCCAGCCAATTCAAGGCAACTGTGGAAAGAAATGCTAGCAAAAATTCATTTTGTTGATCTTATCATAAATGTGAGAGATTTAGCTTCATCCTAAATTCCACTAAATCCAAGAATGCAATAAAGAAATAATCATGTGTAAATTCGAATCAGTACTATTCCTAGTACTTATGACACTTGGCAAGCTAGAAAGCAACTTTGCTAGAGCATATTCATTCCAAATTAATACAGTAATTCTGAAAATTGCTTCTCTTTTTCCCTTTTATGCATTTATTGCTTTATTTCTTTATTGCTATTTCTAGTCCATAATGCAATGCAGCTTGTGGAATGTAATCCCCTTTCTTCTCCTGACCAATCTCTACTCTGAATGCTGCATGGCTGGGATCCTTTCTTTTCTGCTTTTTAACGTTTTTCTTCTCACTTTATGTATTCTCAAAAATGAGATGAATTTCTGATTATTTTCCATTTCCATTTATGAATATTAGAGTGGTTTTCTTTTGCGATGTGGCTTGGCCTGCATTTCAAAGTCCACATTATGAGCAGTTCCCTGTGATTTTTGGACACTTGGCAGTTTCTGGGTCCAGCTCAGACAACTGTTTGATTTTCAAATATTCAAAGCATTCTCAAAGCCTGTTAAGTGCAGACAATGCTTTCAGTGTTCTTTATGTCCTTTAGGCTTATTTTTTTCATTAACCCAAAACTGAGGTAAAAAAAATCCTGAGTTCTATGAATTCCACTGTGTTGTGCAGAGAAAGGCAGTGGGAAAACTGAGTTGAATGCAGGATTCAAGTTCTTCTGATTCTTGCACAACTTGCTGTCTAATGGACTCCATAGGCTCTCAGCAACACCAGCTGTCTCTAAAATTCAACCAACAGTGGAAATTAATACCACTGTTCAGTCCATGGAAAGCAAGAAAAAATATATATTTTTTTAAATAATGGCTTGCTTAGATACCATACAAATGTACTTACTTTTTTTTTTTTTTTTTTTTTTTTACTTAGTGAAAAGGCTGTATTATAAAAGTAAACTTTTCAAGGCAGAAAAAGTAGTATCAAGTACAGAACAGAAACAAGAACAGTATAAAGTAATCTTTACAAAAGCAGATTGCAGATTCACTGACACCATCTTGCTCACAGTAACACAAAGTAATTTCACAAAACCCAACTTTTATCTTGTTCTAATAAAACATCAAGCTAGCAACATTATGGTGAGGGCTTTCATTTGCTTTTTGATATAGCTTCTGATTGGAAGTATTAGCTGATGCAGCAGGATAAATAAAGAAATACCTAGATTGTTATGGTTCCCAAAGGTCACTTTCATGAAAAGATCAGGAAATATGTTTCATTGAAATTAAAAGTAAAGCCATATCAAGTTTAATAACATTGTTACTATAATGACATAAAATTCAGTGAGATGGTGTAATGTTTAATATTTGACTATCAAGACTCTGCAGTGAAGCTGTGTAAAAGCATTTAAACTTCTAAAACTGAATTTCCTTTCAGTTTTATTGATGTTTCACACCCATCTCCTTTTTTTCCTTGCCATAATATTCCGTGTTTCTTTGTTGAATCTGATGTTATCAGAAAAATACAATAAAAACTCATGAAGGGCCACATCTCTGTTCCATACAAGACTTAGCAAGGCAAGGCATCCCCAGATGACCAAAGGCTGTCTGTGCCAAATCCTTTTTTCCATCAAGTAAGAACCCCAGCAGTGTTGTAGGGCATGGCAAGAGGGACACTGTCAGGGCACAACTACCCTCTGGGTTTTCTCAGTTGTGGCACTGTCAGAGGCGGATTAATATGAGAAGCTGCATCAGCCCTCAGCAATTTTGGGAAAGGTCTGGCATAATGCCACTGTTCCCTGGTCTGCATTCACATAAACAATTGTAAAGACAACTGAAGCCAGCAACTGCGAAGCCTGAGTGGTCTCTGGCTATGTACAGCCTTTTGTTGGACACTGTGCTGAGTGCTAGGATCAGAGAATTGAAAAGTTTATAGCTTGGCACAGCTCTGCAAAATTCTGATTTTCAGACAAATAAACAAAACCCTGTCTCCGTCCCTGGGACCAAAATTATTCAATACAATAAATAACAAGTAACATTCTGGAAACAAATTCTTTAAAATGCAAGCTTGGTTTAGCACATTTTCCCAGGATGAATTTCACCAGTTTAGCTTAAGAGTGTTCAGTCTCATCACTGTAAAAAACAAGTGGCTGTGAACATTCCTGAAACAATTACATGAAATTCTGATAAAGATCTGAGTGTCCTAACCACCAGAGTTCATACAACCACAGAATTGCTCGAGTTGGAAGGGACCCTTAAAGGCCATCCAGTCCAACTCCCTTGCACTGAACAGGGACACCTACACCCAGATCATGGTGGTCCCCTTTAGATACTGAAAGGCCACTATTAGGACTTCCTGAATATTTATCTTCTGCAGGCTGAACAGCCCTGGCTGTAATACAGCTAAATATTCTGATAGTTTTACCTCATATTCATCCATCAGCTTTGGTTGCTGACAGATGATGCAAAGATTGAGAGACTTGCTGATTTGTTCTCTTTGTCTTTTTGCCAGACTGGCTGTGATAAGCAGGTACTGGATATGCACAGTTTGGTCTGTTACAGCTATTCTAGCACATAATCTGATTCAAAAACAGGGAATGTTTGGAGACTTTTATTGGTAAATACTATTACTGTGGATGTTATTAGCACTGCAGATGTGCCTTTGCCATCTTTGATATTGGTCATGATACTACTAACATGGTGCTTTTTACTATGTGGACAAATAGCTTTGAATGTACAACTCAAAGAGCTGCCACTCTCCATGAACAAGCTTTACTTTCTGCCATTTGTGCCTGAGGTTATTATTTGAGCTGTGTGGATCATTCCTTACGAAAATTGGAACTGTGAGCTATTTAGCTGGACTTATCTTTTCTATAGGTCTGACACAAAATAACTGGGGAAGAAGAGATTCTGATTCTCCATGGAGCTTGTTTTATAAAAAAGATCATCTTAAATTGGATGTCTGCTAATTCCTTTCTCTTGAAGATCTCAAGGAATACAGAAAGTATGATACATCTACATGACTTGGACCAGGCTCTAGGCTAATAGAGACTTTAGGCACTATTAAAACTGCCATCAGTCCCAAATCCCTATTTTTAGTCATGGTGAGACCAGTGAAGTTCTGCACATGTGCCTTAACACACCTGTGTTGTTGCCATCTTGTCTCCCTTGAAAAAAACGACAAAACTTGTCTGGATGGAGTTGTTATTTCAGACACGTAATTGACTGAAGCATGACATCCTTTTTATAGATTCAATGAATCAACACGTAAACATCTCTAATTAAAATGGAAATAAGAGTTTATTTCTGCATTCTAGTTTTTCTTTGCATTTTCTGGAAGCATTGCAATGTACTTCAAATGCAGTGTGTGAAAGACTGTGAAATCATGAATGAAGGATTCAAGTATTCCTTTATGAAAAATCTTTCAACATAATAGATCAATAATTATTCTTTCTGTGGGGTTTATTTTGTTATTGGTGGTGGTGTTTGGTGTTTTTGTTGTTTGGTTCTTTTGAAAAATCCTGTAAACCCTAATAGAAAATTACATTTTCTGTTTTTACAGTCCGGTGCAGAAGTGTATAAGAAAAGTCAAGAAATCTATGTCATGGCTGTCATTCTTCTTTCAAGATTGTTAACCTGAAATCCTGGCTTCATTGCATCTCAGCACTAATTTCAGCAAAAAGTCAGATGTTCACTCCATCATGCTTTAGATTAAACTATCTATCACTGTGTTATATTCTGCTCTTTCTTCCCCATTCTCTTTTCACGCTTGTCAGGTAAGTGTCCATAAATGCCATGAAGCCAAAATAAACTGATGTGTGGAAAGGCAGATGTCTAGGGACAAGAA